TACCTGTCTTTCTCTTTGCCTTTTCTCAAAAGCTCTGTCAACAAAGAAACATTCAAGTTAAATACAAAGCTTGAAAAATAATCTTATTTATAAAAGATAGATGGATGAATCAAAAGAAACCTTGTTCTAGCCGGTAAGATGACCCTAAGGGAACCCCCTCCCCAGTCTCCTTAGAGCCGCTACACAGGCTACCTTGTTCACATTAAGTATTTTCGCTTTGGATACAATGTTGTAATTTTGCCACATACTCTTTATCTTTTTCAAACTGTTGTATTCTCTTCCTTCTTGTCATTAGTTCATCAGGATTCAGTCCTTGTGCTAGCAACTCTGCTCTTTCTTGYTCTTCTTGTTCTTCTTTCTCACGTGCAAGCTTTGCATCCCTTGCTTGAAGAGCTTTTAGGTTTTCCTAGTAACACAATCAATGGTAAAAATTGAGCATGTCACACAAAGGTTTGAGTTAGTGCCCTATTATTTACACTCTCTTGATAGTACTACTAGGTCTTCACCTCTATCGCAGCAAATTCTCTTGACTAATGTCATTCTTAAAATAATAATCATGACACTTTTGAGAGGTGAAAGCGCACCCCTCTTTTTTCACTATCATGGTGACAGTTTTAAGTTTGCATTAGACATCGGATCTTTTAAAGAATTTATTTAGATTGAGGTAAAACTAACTCAACGCGAGAGTGGGTTATTTTGGGGTTGTCATAATCGTGAAAAGTCGCTCTGTCAAATGACTATCAAAAGCACAAGGTCAGGCACGAAATTCTTAGGTCATTGGTTCAGCTCTGCCGTTAGCCGTTTGTCTTAAACTCTCTAATAAGTCTTGACCAACTTCTTGAACAACAGCTGTAATCCTTCTGTTTTTCTTATAATAATTTTGGTAGTTTCAAGTATTATTTTGTGTTTCTAGGATAAACTTTCTGTAACCTACTTTATTGGTCTCAATGTTACGTTTAAGTGTCAGCACTGCTTGCATGCGATTGTCCAAGTATTCCCTTGATCTCTCTTCCTCTTCTGCTTCCTTTTGCCGCACCCTGGAATAGAAATAACAGTTATGGGACAGACAGTCAGAAAGGGAGACTGACAAGCACTGGAAAACGTCCATTAAAAAGAACTTTAATGTTAAGGATGTAACATTAATATGGTTCCTGTACAAAGTGAGGCTTGYAAAATTTGAAATTTGAACTTCTCTGGCATTGAAAGCATGCGGTATATCACTTAAAAGCTTGACTCAATCTTTAGCTTCCTCTTTGATTATCTTGTAGTTAAAAAACAGTCAAAGAGRCTCACAGTTTGAAAAGCACAAGCAACAGCAAAAACATCAATGCTTGCATTCTTAAACAGAGTTAATAAAATGCAATCTTGACGAGGCCTGGCATTTACCATATAGTACAATTTATTATCCTTCAAAATTAAACATTCCTGGTAATACTTCAATTATTCATTAATAAACTAAAACGGGATATCCAAATCAAAATACCTYGACATTGTTTCCTTGAGAAACTTTGTTGCATGTTCTCTGTTYCTCTTTGCAGCAGTTATAGCTTGTCTATGTTTTCTCTCTCTTTCTCTCAATGCTGACACATGCTCCCTAGAGTTAAAAATAAATAAATAAATATCATCCACTATTGATACGTCATCTACTCATGGCTGCAATTAATATTAAATTTAGCAAATGAGACTGACATTGACTTGGCTCAAAACTTCAACTCAAAGCAGTATTATATATATCAGCTTCAGTAATGTTGTTGTACAATATGTACGTTTTATTTGCTTACTTTTCTCTAGTTCTACGTCGTCTGTCTACTACAGCAGCTGTAGCATTTTCTCTACGTAYTCTCGATGCTGATGCCTCTTGCTTATGTCTCTCAACCATTCTGTCATTTTTGTCCACTTCTTCTCCAGCAACGAGGAACTTTCCTTGTTCTGCAGTKGCTTGGGCAAGAGCATATCTAGATAGAATTATGAAAAACTTAGCATTATCTTTATTGATATCGTGGTCTTGTTTACTTAGTAGCTTACTAGACAACTAAATGTAGTAGGATTCTGAAGCTTGCTAACGACAGTACTAAGTAGTGTGTGTCAGGGGGTGGGGTGGGGGTATTCACAAGACATGACTGGGTATTCTTTTGAGTTGGAAACTACTGACAGACTGTACAAGGAAATTGCATTGTATAAATCTTCCCTTGACTTTACTGACCACAAAATGATCTAAAGATCACTTTCTGGAGTCTTCAGTCTTTTTTTTTTATCACCATTCCACAAGAATTTGTAAAAAGATGGCAAGAAATGATTCTTGATGGTAAGACTCAGAATTGAACATTGTCAGTTGGTAATATACTGTTATGTATTAAAGAAAACACAAAGTATGGTGTGGTAACATGTCATTTATATAGGACTGCATTCAGTGTGTTGTTCTTGACTAGGACAACACGTAAGCAATAGATAGAGATCACTTACTCAGCATCTGACAACTGCTTGGTTTTCACTTTTAGGACATCTTTTTCATTTGCCAGCTCTGCACACAGTTTGGAGTAYTGGGAATTTAATCGCCCAAGAGATGCCCTAAAAAAACAGCAAATTGCAATCTTAGAAGCCTTCAAATGGCATATTGCTATAATTTACAGCAGAAACCGTTGCATCGCCACTTCAATGTTCAAAGGAAATCGTTGGGATTTAGATTTTTCTGCGACTTGGGGGTGGAGCTTGATACAAATCAGCCAATGACTGAACGAGTTTATGAAAAGCTTAGATCGAAGGAAAGAACAAAATCCAGACAAACTTCAAAACAAAGAATTTGCAATGCAACGATTTCTGCTGTAATTAATATTTTTTATATGGTAGAGTGAAGTCACAAAACCCATGAAATAGATATTACAGCTGTTAATTATTTATACACCTTAGTATACTCTAATTGCTTTGTTTTCTTTTGTGTCTATTTGACTATCAAACTTTAATGGTCAAATTTTGTTTCAAATAATTAAAACAGGGACAAGGACAGACAAACTAAGAAATTTGTTGGAGGGTGACATTTCAAATCCAGAAGCAAYGGTATTCTGCATGTAAACCTTTTAAGAGATATTCAGGCTTAGTCCTATAGGCAAATTATTTGATTACATTTGGGTTTATTAACATATCATTAGCATAAGGATATAACGTTTTAACCTAACTATCAGTAAATCAGCACTGAATATTGAAACAATATAGTACAATAAGCTTTCCACGCAATTTTGAGCTTCTCATATGAAATACTTTTTGCTTAAAACAGTTTTAAAAACTCCAATTTTTAGAGAGATTATATGAGCTAATTAGCGCTTTTGCCACTCAGCATCTTTGAACGCTAATATCTTATAAACTATTCCATGTAATGACCTAAAACTTTTGTAGTTTATAGTTCTTAATAAGCCCTTTTACATTATAAACTTATTTGACAGTTTTCTTTAATTTAACTTTATGCTAATTAGCAAAATTTTGTAAACAAAAATCCGCCTATACTTTTATCACAAAATTCCAGGAATTTTGCATAACTCCTTACATGTATTGGTTGGATTCATCAATCTCAATCTGTTTTCTGACGTCTTCAATTTGACGTTCCAGTGATTCTATGACATCTCTGCACTTTTTAAGCTCTTCCCTGAAAATACCAAGGAAAAATACAATGTTTTCCTGATTTAACCATTATGTTATAATTTATTAATCCACCTACACCCAGCTACAATGGAACCCTGCCATACAGCCATCTTTTTAATTATACAGCTATTCAGCTGTATTAGCCATTTTTTATGTTATGAAATGAATTGTAATTTTTTTTATTGAGCCAATCGAAAAACTAACCATATCACTAAAAAGAGTTTATCGACTTTAGTGTAGGTTCCAAGTTACAGATCATTTGGACAAATATTCAATTAATGAGAAGCCGTGCAATTTACAGAGAATGTATGGGGATTTTGACCACGTCCCCCAAAACAATACATTCTCTGTTAATTTGATGAAACTAGGAATAAATACTGTTCAGCTAGTTTTTATCCAAACGTTTTGAAACTTGGTATATTTACTAATTTTTGGGTGTCATTTCATCTGGAGAGGTTTGTTTCGTCAATAGATCAAGATTTCTTTGATAAGTGCCCAGTCCCCTGTGCAACGTCGAAATGGCCAATATTAGGGGTGGAGATAACACTATCCATAAGGTACAATGATGACATGGTCTACATGTATAAAATTTAATTCAAATAATTCTGATATTTGCCAGTAATTTTCACCTTGATTGTATAACAATATAATCCTTTTCCAAAACTTGTTCACTGAGCTGGTCAAGATGACGTCTTAGTGCCAATAATCTCGCTTTGTCCTACAAAAAAAAAAGAAATAAAAGATAAAAGAAAAAGATATTAACAATATTTAGAGACACTACCTGGAATAGACCAAGCTCATAGAGTACAAACACATCTTCATTTATGATGTGAACTCTATTACAACTTTTTTTATAATACTTTATACATGTATTCTGCAGTTACTGAGGTAATTTTTATATATTAATAAATGATTTTGCGACGTATTTAAGGCACTGAAAAAAAAAAAAAACGAAACATAGTTTTTCATGATTTACTGAGGCTTGAAAAAAGTATTTTCTCCGGGCTCGCTACTTTTGATTGCTATTATCATGATGTTTTCATACAGTATCTGCTTAGTTCCGTGTTTTTCACTTGTTTTAAAAACAACATATGGTGATTTTTCTAATAAAATTGCCTCGGTTTCCCTGCGTATTTTAACACCTTAGGTGTGAAATCTCACACACGTGACACAATATTTAGGGAAGAAATTATATGGATGATGGCTCCATATAGAATATTTCCATAGGTAGAACTGAATAGAAACATTTTTATTTTTTTTAATAAATGGCCCTCACTTTAAGCAGTCCAAGTACCTTGGTACCAAAAAAATGCTACATTTGGGTGTAAGACAATAAAATTATGACGAAAATCATCACATATACCTGTCGAGTTTGTTGTGCAATTGGATTAGACTCATATTCATCTGTCTTTTCACCGTCATTCCTGTTAAAGTAATAACAAACAATAGAGAGCTTTAGATTTGAGAACGAAGACGAGGACAAGGACGAAGTTTTGAAAATTTGCCGTAACAAATTACGACAGCTCATGAAATGTCACGCAACTTCGTCGTCTCCTTGCTGAGGAAGACGAAGTTTTTACCAAACTTCGTTCTGTCCATAACGAAGTTTTTATCAGCTTTTCTTGAACTTATTTTGCACTGAAAATCTGAAGAAAATGCAAGAACATTGACTTTGGTCATCCCTCGTTTTACCTTGAGCAATAAGTGTGCGGAAATATCCTTAATTTGTGCTAAAATTGACATAAACTAAACCATATCAAAATATCAAATTAGTTTTTCAGAGTGAATTAGGAATTTCTTTTGAATATGCGCGAGCAAGCTGACGATATCAAAGTTGTGCACGCTCACCAACTTCGTCCTCGTCTCCGTTCTCAAATCTAAAGCTCCCTAATGACTACTTTGACAGTACACTGCACATTTTCCACAGGGAGCCCAAAGAGAAAAGAGAGTGAAACACYACCCTTGGTCAATACAATAGTTTTATTCTYACCCATTGACAGAAGCTTCATCACTGTAATAGTCATTATCAAGATCTGATGACGGGTCACTATCAAGTTCCACTGGACCTGAT